ATATATATATATCCTTTAAAATTATATTTATTTATATATATAAAATTAACAATCTTAAGAGAAAAGGGCCACAGCCTTAACACCCCACCCCGACTCCTTGCCCGTAAGACCCACACCGGCCTGAGCGCCTGGGAAAGGAAGAGGCATCCAATTGGACTGGACGTGGGTTCTTTTGTGACATACAAGTTCATTTCAAAAAAAGACAACAGAAATCCCCACAACTGATTGATAAATCAGATAGGCAGAGAAAGGATGGAAGTTGTCAAGATATTTCATTTTACTTGGATTTACACCCAATGCTCATGGAAGCAGTGGTCAAAAACTCAAATGATGCACGAGACCTTTAAACATATTAAAGAGCAGAAAAGTCACTTTGAGTACTAAGCTGTTCCTGACCAACACCATGGTGTTTTCAGTTGCTGCCAAGCAGGTGACAGGTGGACAGGGAATGCCGAGGGCACCGTGAACTGCTCGACGAACGAGCAAATCTGTCTTGGACGAAGTACAGCCAGAATGCTCCCTAGAGGTGAGAATGGCAAGACTTTGTCTCATGTCCTTGGAGACGGTATCGGGAGAGACCAATGTCTAGCAAAAGACCCTCAAGGACATGGGTTGACCCAGTGGCTGCAATGAGAGGCACCTGGCCACAGATAACCCCGAATGCCGAAAGCCCTGGTGGTGCATCGATTAAGCACTCAGCTGCTCACTGCAAGGTTACTGGCTGGAACGCACAAGCCTCTTGGAAGGAGAGGTGACAGCTGTCTTCCTAAAGAGTACAGCCTAGGAGAGCCTCGGGGGCGGCCCTACTCCCCTGTAATAAGGCCTCTATGAGTCCTCTTCTCTTCATCCCGGTCCAAGTTCATCCCATTTCCTGATCCTCAGCCTTTCCTTGTTCTGTTCTGTTCGTCTTAAAAAACAACAACAACATTCAAATCTGGTGTCTGGGATCTTCGGGATGGGAGTCACACCTGGATCGGGTACATTGTCCCACTGCAGTACCTTCTCCAAAATATTGGTCCACTAAACACTAAATTTTCTGAGAAGTTTGTTTCTCTAATGAATAAAAGTAGGCATTTCTATGATCTGAATGCCCTATGCCCTTAGACGTGTGGTGTCCAGGGCAAGCCTGTGGATTCAGAGGTCAGTACCAAGCCCGACCGACCACTGACAGTGACAGGCAGAGCACGGGTCTGGGCTGTCCGGGAGGGTAGTCAGAACTGACCGTGCATTTGTTTGTGTGCGGTTTCTGTTGAATGATGCCTTCATGTGCTGAGTAAAATTTAGCTTCAAGCACAAGTACATTGTTGCTAGTTTTTTTCTATTCTATAGGAATTGACTTTGGAACAGAAGAAAGTTACTTGTTAAATGTTCAGTTTTTAGCCCTGCTAGCCTGCAGATGAATGGGGACAGCTTGCTGATTTGGATTTTATCCAAAGGGTGTGGTATCCCGCTAATATTTAGGAATGCTGACTTTTTAATACCTGTATTTGTGACCCCGGGCGAAGCACTGCAGGGTTAAGTAGAGTGTACAGTGCTTTCCCCGCCAGGAGTTGTAGGTGGCAAGAGAGGCCAAATCGGATCTCTGAAAAGTACGGTGAGACGAGAGATGCCGGGCAGAATCGACAATGTAGTGCCAGGTCCTAAGGGCTGTGCAATCCCAGGAAGAGAAGAGACTCAGGTATTGGGAGCGAGTCTCAGCAGGAATAGAGTATCGAACCTGAACTGCAAGATAGAAGGTGATACGGTGAATGATACGGTGAAACCAAACCTGCTGCCACCGAGTTGATGCCAACTCATAGCAGTCCTGGGCAGCAGTTCCAGCACTGGGCATCTTCTGGGCGTAGACCGCCTCGTTGTTCCCACAGAGCAGCTGGTGGGTCGGCAACACCGACCTTGCTGCTAGCGGCCCGGTGTCTAACCCACAGTGCCACCAACGTGTGGCGGAAAGAAAACGGAGGCTCTTCCAGGCCAAGAACATCACTGCACGGGAGGCCCCGAGGTGAGCTTGCGGCGGCCTGTGGCAGGAAAAGGCAGATCAGATGGCCACTGCTGGGAGCTCAAGGTTTCTGAGCCAGAGTGACTCCCGGGGGAGCATAGGAGGGAGTCAAGTCTACCGATGAAATAAAATAGGACACCTCTGACAATCTACGGTGAAATTTGGAAGGGCTTGTACCAGGCAGTCACCCTTGGATGAGACCTTGAGGCACTAATCTCCTGGTGCAAAGGGCAGATTACATTGGCTTTACCATGAAGGAAGGCCCCATGCAGCCTCTGGAAAAAATAGGTTCTCTTGCCGTGTGAGGGAAATCTGCATGTGACGGGGCGCAGTGGTTGGCTACGAGAGTCCTTGGGAGGCAGTGCTGGGATGGCATTGTCCCAGCCTCTGTTTGGTGGCGATTGTGCCGCTTGTCTGATCTGCCTCGCCTTTCTCGTTGCCAGGATGCTGACAGGCAGCACCAAGAAGTAATTGCCATCTATCGGACGCACCTTCTTAGTGCTGCACAGGTAAGGATGTGGTCCTCTTGTGGAAAGAACCATTTTAGCGCTTACGCCCCCCCCCCCCAAGTAAATGTATGTGAGAGCAATTGATGTTTAAAGTAGTTGTACCCCATATGCTTATTTAAAAATAATTTCACTCCTTCCCGCTGTGATGGCGTATCTCCCCGAGAAATTTACAAAGCTCCGCAGCAGCGCAGCGCCACACATCCACTGTTGTCTCCATCTGCTTGTCACTCAGACTGCAGATGGTTTGACAACAGACGCTGGCAGCACGCGCTGACGGTGCTGCCCGAGGGCCCAGCACCCCGACATCCACCAGCGCTGTCAGCTGAGGGGAGCAGAGAAGACTTCTGATGTTGCCTGGTGACTCGGGACTATGTCCGTGAAATGACATAAGGCACGACGAAATTCCAAAGCTGACAAGGAGGATGCGCATGGACTTGTAATCACTGAGGGAAGTGTCAGTTCTGTGGGGAGCTTTCCAGTTAGGGAAGTATCAGATTGAGAAGCCCCTTCTACAGGGGGCTGCTTAGAAAGCTATTACCAGAAAACACACACACACACACAAAATCATTATACTTGGAGGAGGTTACTATGATCCTCTCTGGCTTCCTCCTGCAGACGTCTCAGAATAGATTTTGCAGGAAGATGCACCAAAGGGCCAAATGCTGCCGTCGTTTTACTAGGGGCTCATACGACTCATCACAATCCATACATACATCAGTTGTGTAAAGCACATTGGTACATTCATTGCCCTCATCATTCTCAAAACATCTGCTCTCCACCTAAGCACCTGGCATCAGCTCCTCATTTTTTCCCCTCCCTTCCCGCTCTCCCCTCCCTCATGAACCCTTTCTCATTTACAAATTATTATTTTGTCATATCTTGCACTGTCCGACATTTCCCTTCACCCACTTTTCTGTTGTCCGTTCCCCAGGGAGGAGGTTATATGTAGATCCTTGTAATCGGTTCCCCCTTTCTAACCCACCTTTCCTCCACCCTCCCGGTATCGCCACTCTCGGCACTGGTCCTGAAGGGATCATCCGCCCTGGATTCCCTGTGTTTCCAATTCCTATCTGTACCAGTGTACATCCTCTGGTCTAGCCGGATTTGTAAGGTAGAATTGGGATCATGATAGGGGGCGGTGAGGAACCATTTAGGAACTAGAGGAAAGTTGTATGTTTCACAGTTGCTACATCGCACCCTGACTGGTTCGTCTCCTCCCCAAGACCTTTCTGTAAGGGGATGTCCAGTGGCCTGCAAATGGACTTTGGGTCTTCACTCTGCACTACCCCCCTCATTCGCAATGATATGATTTTTTGTTCTGATGATGCCTGATGCCTGATCCCTTCGACACGTCGTGATCGCACAGGCTGGTGTGCTTCTTCCATGTGGGCTTTGTTGCTTCTGAGCTAGATGGCCGCTTGTTTACCTTCAAGCCTTTAAGACCCTAGACGCCATATCTTTTGATAGCTGGGCACCATCAGCTTTTTCGCCACATTTGCTTATGCACCCATTTGTCTTCAGCGATCGTATCAGGGAGGTGAGCACACAATGATATGATTTTAGTTCTTTGATGCCTGATAACTGATCCCTTCAGCACCTCATGATCACGCAGTCTGGTGTGCTTCTTCCATGTGGGCTTAGTAGAAATTCCTTCAGCATGGCAAAACACAAAGTGTGCAGCCACACTGCCAAAACAAGTCGGGCAAAGACAGGGGTTGAGAGAAAGCCTCAAAGAAAGTTCATTTTTTAAAAAAACAACAACTAGGCAAAATTATAAAAAGGAAGACATTGTGACATCAAGATCTTAACATCAAAAAGCCATCCTTTTCTAAAGAATTGGAGCGGGAACTGATGAGACAGGGTGGCTGGTGTGATGGAAGCAGGGTTCTTTGGCTGCTGTGTTTTGAACCGATGGAAGAGGTGCTGGGATTTGGAGGACTGTTGCAGCCAGTAGAGAAACCGCTGGTGGGCACCAGCACAGCGAGCTTGCGTCCTGTTGCGAGTGGAAGCTCCTGGCGTGCCGAGTAGACCTGCGCCATGGGCTTCCCAAGGCTGTGACCCTTTAGAAGCAGATCGCCAGGCCTTTCTTCCAAGTCACCTTCAGTGACAGCCTTTCAGCTCCTCGTCCAGTGCTTACTCATTTGCATCACACAGACTCCTATGGGGAGTGGAGGAGGGGAAGCAGTATAAAAGCAGAGGAGGTCTTGATGAGACCGGCAGGGACTCCCTGGGATCTGGCATTGGCCCCTGGAGGGAGTGCACACTAACAAGCCGCTCTACTGTTGCCTGGTGAAGCCTAACAGGAGCAAGAGGCGTCTGAAGTACTCTTGCTTTCTGACTTCATAAAGTTAACTGAGAAATTCAGGTTAGTCACAGTGGCTAGTGTTTGAAATTTAAGCATCCTCCTCTTATAGAAGGGAATTTTAGAAGCAAAACTTCTATTCATAAAAAAAAAATATTTCAAATGCTCAAGCCAAAAAAAGGGGGGGGGGTTAGAAAGGATGTCTATAAGCTCACCATATTGACGTCTTTCATTTAATCGACCTCTTGTCATCTTTTAAAGTTTAAAATGTTTCTTTTTAAATATACATGGCTCAAGGTGCATGCGAAGGGAGCCCAGTACGGTTGGAAAGGTGATCTGCTTCCCAAAGGTCATAGCTTTGAAAACCCTAAGGTTGGACTGGTAACCCCAGGGTCAGTGGTTCAAACCCACTGGCTGATCCATGGGAGAAATATGAGGCTGTCTGCTTTAGTAAAAAGGTACAGGCTCAGAAACCCTATGTAGGGTGGCTGTGAGCTGAAATCACCTTGCTCAGCCTCCCCAGCGATGAGCAAGCAAGCAGGTCCTTTTTCACCTGTGGGACTGACAAATCGTCAACGCGTTGGCCTGAGTATTGTAGGAAGTGGGTGTCTGTGCCCTGTTGGTTTGAGTGTAAATTGGTATCATTTTATAGTAGTCCCCACTGAGGTCAAGTCGATTTCTGGCTCCTAGTGACTTCATAGACAAAATAGAACTTCCCCGGGTGGCTTCCAAGGCTGTAATCTTTAGGGGAACTGACTGCACATGTTTCTCTTGCAGAAAGACTGGTGGGTTCAAACCACTGGACTTTTGACTAGCAGTCCAGTGCTAACCCCCTGCCTCACCAGGCCTCTTACTTGCATTGAAGTTAAATGCTGAGCCCACTTTTTGATGCAGCAATTCCTTCTGTAGGAACCTATCTATAAAACTCAGAAGCACTCTGAATGTCCACCTGTCGTCCCAGGGAATGGGTAAAGAAATGATGACACAGCCGTACTATATTGTACAGTAATTGAAAATTATTAGATAGCAAAATTGTGTGACTGTTAAGTGAAAAGGATAGTTGCAAAAATATTACCATCTATACTCGTGTATAAGTTGAGTTTTTCCAGCACGTTTTTAATGCAGTTTGTGTGATAAGACTCGGTGCTTCGGCTGATGTTTGGGTCGACTTATACTCGAGTATATGCAGTATGTTATGTGATCCTGCCAAAATAGGAGTCGCTCTGGTGGCACAGTGAAAGAAACATCAGGCTGCTGACCGTAAAGTCGGCGATTCAAACCCACAAGCTGCTCCACGGGAGAAAGAGGAGGCTTTTGGTGCCCGGCACCCTCTGAAACATTTCTACTTTGTCTAATAGGACTGCTAAGGCTTGGAATCTACTCAATTGCATGGTTTTGTGTTTGCTTATATAAAAATATACCCACTTAACCTACTGCCTGCAAGTCAGTTCCAGTGCATATCCACCCCACATGAGGCTGTGAATCTTTACT